TTCTCGTTAAAGGACTTATTAGAAATAAGGAAATATTTTCCCACTGACAGCAGAAAGTGTCAGGGTTGGTTTTAAAGCTGGCAGTAACTTCTAACAGTTACAATTGTAAATAATACAAAATACCACAGTTACAACAAGACTTGAATATGATATTGGGATTACAGGAACGGCTCTAAAATGGTTGAAATCATATTTATCTGATAGATTCTAATTTGTAAATGTAAATAATGAATCTTCATACATCGAAGTTAGTCATGTAGTTCCTCAGGGATCAGTGCTTGGACCATTACTCTTTACTTTATATATGCTTCCATTAGGTAAAGTTATTAAACAACATGGGATAAATTTTCATTGTTATGCTGATGATGCACAGTTATATTTGTCCATTAAACTCAATAAATCCAATCAGTTACGTAGACTACAAGCATGTCTTAAAGGCATAAAAACCTGGATGACCCTTAATTTTCTGCTTTTAAACTCAGACAAGACTGAGGTTTTGGTTTTTGGACCTGAGCACCTCAGGAATGAATGTTTCAGTCTTTCTCCCTCCTTAGATGCATTAATCTGTCCTCCAGCTCTAATGTTAAAAATCTTGGTGTTATTTTTGATCAGGACATGTCTTTTATCCCCCACATTAAAAACGTTACTAGAACCTCCTTCTTCCACCTGCGTAATATCACTAACATTAGAAACATCTGATCTAAAAATGATGCAGAAAAACTGGTCCATGCATTTGTCACGTCTAGACTGGACTATTGCAATGGTTTATTATCTGGATGTCCAAATTCTTCTTTAAAACGTCTTCAGTTGATCCAAAATGCTGCTGCCAGAGTCTTAACTGGAGTTACTGGGAGAGATCATATCTCTCCAGTTTTAGCTTCTCTCCATTGGCTCCCTGTCAAATCCAGAATAGAATTCAAAAGCTTACTTCTAACCTACAAAGCTCTCAACAACCTAGCTCCATCTGATATTACAGATCTTATTGTTCCATATTTTTCTAACAGAGCACTTTGATCTCAGACTGCAGGTTTACTTGTGGTTCCTAGAGTTTCCAGCAGCAGAATGGGAGGAAGATCTTTCAGTTCTCAGGCTCCTCTCTTGTGGAACCAACTTCCAGTTTCTGTCTGTGAGGCTGACACATTGTCCAGTTTTAAGACTGGGCTTGAGACCTTACTTTTTAATAAATCCTATAGTTAGGGTTGGCTTCTTATGCTGCTATAGGCTTAGACTACTAGAGGACAAATTGACCTCATTTCTTAGAATGAATTTTTACTATTGAATAGTTTTCATTTGATACTATTTCTATCAACATGTGATTCTCAACCTGCCATTGTGTAGCTGTTCCTCTCAAACCCAGCTGGTCGAAGCAGATGGCCGCTTGTTCTGATCCTGGTTCTGCTAAAGGTTTCTTCCTCATGGGAGAGTTTTTCCTTTCCTTTGTTGCCTTTGTGTTTGCTCAAGATGAGAGTTCTGCTATGGAGTTAAATTCAAAGCAGTCTGCTCATCAGATAAATAATTTTTCTGTTCAGTGCCCTGAAATTACTTCTGTTGTGACTTGACATTATATAAATAAACTGAACTGAATTGAATTGAATTCTTGTTGAAACATTTCATCTTTTATCCAAAATACTTCTTCAGTCTGAGGAGCTGCAATAAACTTAATCTTATAAATATCACCTTCTCATAGTGGCTCAACCAGTTTAATGGTGACATCCAGATCTAGATGTTCACATGAAAATGGAAGACCATCTATGCAAAGATCAGCATCATCAGGCCAGTACTCTGCGGTTTACACTGGTCTGCAAGCCGGCAGTCACTCTTTCAGGGATGATGATGTGCACATCCTTGATAGAGAGGAATGATGGTTTGAGAGAGGAGTGAAGGATGCCATTAGGGATGAAACGGTACGCTAAATTCATGGTTCGGTTCAGTTTCAAGGAGGGCTCGGTTCTGTTAATTTTTGGTACAAAAAAGGCCAAAATAAAGAGTTACAAAATGTTTATTTTGAAAATATGCCAAGTAAGCAATATGTTATAAAAATAAATAAAAGTGACCCATTTGGATGATATTTTAAATAAACTGCACTCTTTACAATAAATAAACTATGCTAACAATAATAAAAATCTTAATAAATACAATAACAGTCAGAACCAGAACAATAAGAGCAACAGACTGTTCACAATCTAACTAATCAAGTTTAAAGTTTTTGACCAAAAAAAACAACTTGTGCACATTTTCTGCCAAAAGCTCAGATCTAGTTGCAGTGATAATATGACAAGTGACCCTGACGCTGGCTGTCTGACCTCAAAGATCTGGAGCGGGCGGGGAAACTTAGCATCTCAGTTATATAAGGAGAAGCAAGGCCATTCAGAGCTTTAAAAACAAACAATAAAAGTTTAAAATCTATTCTAAAATGGACAGGGAGCCAATGTAGTGAGAATAAAACAGGTGTGATGTGGTCCCATCTAGGAGTGTTGGTGAAAAGGCGCGCTGCTGCATTTTGTACAAGCTGGAGGCGACTCAGTGATGACTGTGGTACACCGACATACAGAGCGTTACAATAATCGAGCCTAGAACTGATAAAAGCATGAACAGCTTTCTCCAGGTCGCGACAATTTAAAAAGGGTTTGACCTTTTTTAAAAGGCATAAATAAAAGAATCCTGACCGGACAACAGAGGCAATATGTTTGTCAAAGTGGAAAGCCTTATCAAAGGTCACCCCAAGGTTTTTCACACAGTCACTGAAGTTAATGTCCAAATTTCCCAGGCCAGTTGCATCTTTGTCACCAAATAAAATCCATTCTGTTTTACTGTCATTTAAAACCAGGAAGTTCTTGTTCAGCCAATGTTTGATTGCAGAGATGCAGTCAAAGAGAGAAAGCATTGGGTTATTGGATCCTGGCCTTAATGGTAAATAGATCTGTAAATCATCTGCATAAAAATGAAAGTTGACATTGTGTTGTCTTATAATAGATCCAAGTGGCAACATGTACAATGAAAAGAGCAAAGGACCCAAAATGGAACCCTGGGGCACCCCACACAGAAGAGGGGCTGTAGAGGAAGAGGAGCCATTGAACAAGATAGAAAAGGTTCTATCAGATAAATAGGACGTGAACCACTTCAGAGCAGTACCACAAATCCCAACAAAATCATGGAGGCGAGACAGAAGGACAGAGTGGTCCACAGTGTCAAAGGCTGCTGTAAGGTCGAGGAGCACCAGAGCTACTGGGCACCCAGAGTCAACTGACTGAGCTATGTCGTTATGAACTTTCAATAATGCAGATTCTGTGCTATGTCGGGATCTAAAACCAGATTGAAATTTATCTAGGATTGTGCTTTTTTCCAGAAAAGGCTGAATTTGCGTAAGAACAAAGTCACTCAGTGTCACTCAGCCCTCTTTGAATAACAAGCGGTCATCATGGCACTAATGATCCGTCGTTAGGCTGATGGTCCTTTTACATGTGAACAGCTAGTTCTGGATGTCACCATCAAACTGGTTGATCCACTAACTCCTCAGACTGACAGTCTTTTGGATAAAAGACAAAACATTTCATCCATCCATCCATTTTCTTCCGCTTATCCGGGGTTGGGTCGCTGGGGTAGCAGCTTAAGTAGGGAGGCCCTGACTTCCCTCTCCCCAGCCACTTGGGCCAGCTCCTCCGGGGGAATCCCGAGGCGTTCCCAGGCCAGCCGAGAAACATAGTCCCTCCAGCGTGTCCTGGGTCTTCCTTTGGGCCTCCTTCCGGTAGGACGTGTCTGGACCACCTCACCAGGGAGGCGTCCAGGAGGCATCCTTAACAGATGCCCAAGCCACCTCAACTGGCTCCTCTCGACGTGGAGAAGCAGCGGCTCTACTCTGAGTCCCTCCCGGATGATCGAGCTTCTCACCCTATCTCTAAGGGAGAGCCCAGACACCCTGCGGAGAAAACTCATTTCGGCCGCTTGTATCCAAGATCTCATTCTTTCGGTCACAACCCAAAGCTCATGACCATAGATGAGGTTAGGACCTCCTCCCTGACCCAGAGAGGGCACTCTACCCTTTTCCGGCTCAAGACCATGGCCTCGGATTTGGAGGAACTGATCTTCATCCTGGCCGCGTCGCATTCGGCTGCGAACCGCTCCAGCGAAAGCTGTAGATCACGATCTGATGAAGCCAATAAGACCACATCATCTGCAAAAAGCAGAGACGCAATCCTATGGTCACCATAACGGATCCCCTCAACACCTTGGCTGCACCTAGAAATTCTGTCCATTAATGTTATGAACAGAATCGGTGACAAAGGGCAACCTTGGCGGAGTCCAACTCTCACCGGGAACAAGTCGGACTTACTGCCGGCGAGGGACGTGGTCGAACGCCTTCTCCCAAGTCCACAAAGCACATGTAGACTGGTTGGGCAAACTCCCACGCACCCTCCAGGACCCTGCTGAGAGTGTAGAGCTGGTCCAGTGTTCAACGGCCAGGACGAAAACCAAACTGCTCCTCCTGAATCCGAGGTTCGACTATCCGACGGACCCTCCTCTCCAGAACCCCCGAATAGACCTTACCAGGGAGGCTTAAGAGTGTGATTCCCCTGTAATTGGAACACACACTACAGTCCCCCTTTTTGAATAGGGGGACCACCACCCCGGTCTGCCAATCCAGGGGAACTTCCCCCGATGTCCACGCAATATTGCAGAGTCGCGTAAGCCAACACAACCCTACAACATCCAGAGCCTTAAGGAACTCAGGACGAATCTCATCCACCCCTGGGGCCCTGCCACTGAGGAGCTTTTTAACCACCTCGGTGACCTCAGCACCAGAGATTGGAGGGCCCGACCCAGAGTCCCCAGGCTCCACTTCCTCAGTGGAAGACATGCCGGTGGGATTGAGGAGATCTTCAAAGTATTCCGCCCACCGACCCGCAACATCCCGAGTTGAGGTCAGCAGCACACCACTCCCACTATAAACAGTGTTGGTGGCGTACCGCTTTCCCCCCCTGAGACGCCGGATGGTGGACCAGAATCGCCTCAAAGCCGTGTAATTCTCCACGGCCTCTCCGAACTCCTCCCATGCCCGAGTTTTTGCCTCAGAGACCACCCGAGCCGCATGTCGCTTGGACTGCCGGTACCCATCAGCTGCTTCCGGGGTCCCACAGGCCAAAAAGGCCCAATAGGACTCCTTCTTCAGCCTGACAGTATCCCTCACCAACGATGTCCACCATTGGGTTTGAGGGTTGCCGCCGCGACAGGCACCGACAACCTTGGAGCTGCAGCTCCAGTAAGCCGCCTCGACAATAGAGGCATGAAACATGGTCCACTCAGACTCAATGTTCCCCACCTTCCTCAGAACATGTTTGAAGTTCTCCCAGATGTGGGAGTTAAAACTCCGTCTCACAGGAGACTCTGCCAGACATTCCCAGCAAACCCTCACAATACGTTTGTGTCTGCCAGGTCTGACCGGCATCTTCCCCCACCATTAGAGCCAACTCACCACCAGGTAGTGATCAGTGGACAGCTCCGCCCCTCTTTTCACCCAAGTGTCCAAGACATGTGGCCGCAGATCAGATGAGACGATGACAAAGTCGATCATCAAACTGCGGCCTAGGGTGTCCTGGTGCCAAGAGCACATATACCATTCCATACCACTTTATTTATAAAGCACTTAAAACAGCTACAAAGCCAACCAAAGTGCTGTACAGACAAAACAACAGGTAACACACAAAGCAAAATACAAAATGAGGTAAATCAGAATATAGACAAAAAACGATGCAGATAATGACGACAAACCAGTGTGGAGCATACAGGATCAAAACACAGATCATCTTGTGTTGAAAGCTACTGAATAGTAGTGAGTTTTTAAACGGAACTTGAAAACCGAGAGGGAGGGGGCCTGTCTGACAAGCAGAGGTAACTCGTTCCAGAGTCTTGGTCCTGCTACAGAGAAGGCCCTGTCACCTCTGTGCTTAAGTCGAGTTCCTGGAACTGTGAGGAGCAACTGGTCCGCTGACCTCAGGGAGCGTGGTGGGACAAACGGTTGTAGCAGATCAGAGAGATTGGGGGGGTGGGGGCACTGTTCAGTGATTTGTAGACATCAATCAATCAACCTTTATTTATACAGGTAAATCCCATTGAGCCTCGAGGACTCATTTACAAGAGAGACCTGATTTCAACAAAGAAAGATGACAACAATGGACAACAGCAACAACAATAAGCAGTTATAAAAACTCATACTACAGTTTTTTTTTTTTTTTTTTTTAACAAATAGGATGGCTAAAAGGAAAAAGGTAACAAAACAAAAAAACAGCTAGATTCCAAGACAAATGTATAAAACTAAAAACAGGAACATGTCTGCATTGGACCCCGCCAGGAGTCCAACAGATTCTTAAAGCCACTTAGAGAGGTCAAGGTCGAGAGCTTCAAATCTTTACACATACATGAGTATTTTGAACTGGATTCGAAAGTGAACCGGTAACCAGTGCAGTGAGGCCAAAACTGGTGTAATGTGCTCTCTTTTGCCTGTACTGGTTAAAAATTGGGCTGCTGCATTCTGGACCAGTTGTAGTTGTGCAATGGAGGTCTGACTGATACCAGACAGGAGTGAATTGCAGTAATCAAACCTAGATGTAATGAATGCATGTATTACTGTCTCCAGGTTATTTTTGGACAATATGGGCTTCAGTTTAGACAGCCGCCTCAGTTGGAAGAAGCATGATTTAACGATCATGTTTACATGATTGTTAAGCTTCAGGGAAGGGTCCATTATCACGCCCAGATTAGTGACTCTTTGTTTTTCTGACAGGGTTAGAGTGGAAAGGTCGATGCAGTGGTTTGTGATCGTGTCGTTGGGAGGGAACAACATGACTTCAGACTTCTTTTCATTGAAACTTAAGAAGTTTAAAGCCATCCAGTCCCTGATGTCAGTCTGGCAGTTGAGCAGAGGTTGAATAGAGCATGTACCATTGTGTCTTGGTGGAAGTAAATTTGACAGTCATCGGCATAGGAGTAGAAGGGCATGTTGTGTTTCTGGAAAATAGCACCAAGCGGCAGCAGGTATAAAGAGAATAGGAGGGGACCCAGGATGGACCCCTGCGGAACCCCCCATTTAAGCTCTGCCGCTGCGGAACTAAAATCCTTGATGGAGACACAAAAGGATCTGTCAGCGAGGTAAGATCTGAACCAATTGAGGGCTGATCCTGTGACGCCCACCCACTGCTCCAACCTAGCAATGAGGATCTCATGGTCGATGGTGTCAAAGGCGGCTGTGAGGTCCAACAGGACAAGCAGCACAGAATCACCGGTATCTGTGAATCTGAAGATGTCGTTAAAGACCTTCAGCAGGGCAGTTTCAGTGCTGTGGAGAGGTTTAAAGCCAGATTGGAAAAGCTCTAAGATGGCGTGATCCTCCAGGAAGCACTTCAACTGGGACTCAACTGTTTTCTCCAGTTCTTTAGAAACAAATGGGAGTTTGGAGACAGGCCGGTAGTTGGAAACAACTGAGGGGGTCATGGTTTGGTTTTTTCAGGAGGCTGGACAGCAGCATGTTTAAAGGATTTTGGCACCATGCCAGTGGATAAACTACTGTTTACTATGGCAAGAATGGACGGACCTAGAGTTGGAAACACCTCTTTTAGTAGTCGAGGGGGGACCACATCAAAGGGGGAGCCAGAAGGTTTCAAGCTGCACATGACCTGCTCTAGAGAAGATAGAGTGATGGGTTCAAAATGGTCAAATGGAGCTACAGACTGAGGTGGGATGGATGGGTCATGAGTTGGAGGGGAAATGAGAGCCTTGGTGGTTGCAATTTTTTCCAAAAAGAAATGTAAGAAGTTGTCGCACAGCTCAGTCGAGGCTTCCAGAGGTGATGGTTCAGTGAGGTGGAGAACAGAGTTTAGGGTGGAGAAGAGGACACGTGGGTTGTGAGAGTTTGAGGTAATTATATCAGAGAAGAATTTTGATTTAGCAGCTTTTACTGCTTTCTGATAACGGCGCCAACTCTCTTTAAGTATTTGAAAAGAGACCTGCAGCCTGTCTTTCCTCCACTTTCGCTCCGCCCTCCTACATTACTGCCTACAGCCTTGGTGACGTCACTCAGCCAAGGTTCTGCTCTCAGTTTTGATTTTTTGGTTTTAACAGGTGCAACATGATCCATAGTCTTTAAGCAGACAGAGTTGAACTGGGATGTCAGCTCCTCAGTGGTGGTGAGAAACACTGGGGCCTGAATTATCATTTCAGAGTTATAAACATCTGTGAAACGTGTGGCTTAAGTGGTTAATGGTCCGAGTCCTACGTGCAGGAATGCAAGACTTAGGAGTTAGATGGGGGAGGGTGAACTCAAACCGGTCTGGCATGTGGTCTGAAAAAACTATCACCAATAACAAGATTATTTTAAGTCATATCATGAGTTAAAACAAGGTCCAGTGTATGTCCACACTCTTGGGTGGGACAGTTTACATGCTGAGTTAAATTAAATGAGTCCAATAGATCTAAAAAGTCCTTAACCAAGGGCTTCTCAGGACAGCACACGTGCAAATTAAAGTCCCCAATAATGAAAAGATGCTCATATTTTGGTGTGATTTCAGCCAAGAAGTCAGAAAACTCATTTATGAAATCCTTAGATTGAGGTGGGCGGTAGACAAGTGCAAATAACGTCGCAGGTGAATGTCCGAGTTCAAAGATGCTCAGCTCAAAGCTGGCGCTGGAAACTGGGATGAGCAGTTGTTTACAGTCAAAAGTTGATTTGAATATTGTTAATAATCCACCACCGCGCCGGCCTGATGGCCGTGGGGCGTTAAAACACAGACAGTTCGGTGGCAGTAATTCGATGGAGTTAGCGCGCGCTAATGGCCGCAGGTTTTCAATAACAGCCCCTCCAGGTCGGTCCGATCTGCGCACCGGCTGACAACTCCCGTTGGTTACCTGGTCCGGACACAGAGGAGAGGAAGATGCAGCGTGCAGAGCTTTCAGCTTCACCAGCTGACCAGCACGTTTTCCCCGGCATCTGAAGCGATATCTCTGGGCAGGGAGGTGAGGAGCGCAGCAAAGGTAAGCTGGCACATCCGCCAGCAGGGGGGGAGGAGGGGGGGGTCCAGAGGTACACTGATAATGGTCCAAATAAGCGACTTCAGTGCCAGAAAAACGAAGATTCAAAAGTTGTTGTCTGTCATACACCAGCAGAGAGTTGATGTCACACATGTGAAATGCAAAAAACAAAAATAATCCGAACACCGGTGGATTGCAAGCCATGTACACGGGCACCATCTTACCGGAAGTTTTGGACACCCTTGGACACCCTTATGCTTGAACAAGGTGTTCGTTATTGACAATGCATAACGAGCACAGAAGTCCAACAACAGAACACCACTCGGGTTCAGATCAGGGGGGCCATTTCTCCCAACCACACCCCTCCAGGTCTCACTGTCATTGCCCACATGAGTGCTGAAGTCCCCCGGCAGAACAAGGGAGTCCCCCTTTTCCCCCACTTTCCAGTACCCCCTCCAAGGACTCCAAAAAGGGTGGATAATCTGAACTGCCATTTGGTGCATAAGCACAAACGACAGTCAGAACCTGTCCCCCCACACGTAGGCGGAGGGAGGCCACCCTCTCATTCACCGGGGCGAACCCCAACACACAGGCAAGGAAACTGGTTCCAGAGGCAGAGCCATGCGTAGAGGTGAGTCCGACTATTTCTAGCTGGAACCTCTCAGTCTCACACACCAGCTCAGGCTCCTTCCCCACCAGTGAGGTGACATTCCACGTCCCATTAGCCAGCTTCTGTAGCCGAGGATCAGACCGCCAGGGTCCCCGCCCTCGGCCACCACCCATCCCACATTGCACCCGACCCCTTTGGCCCCTCCCACAGATGGTGAGCCCATGGGAAGGGGGACCCACGTCTCCTCTTCGGGCTGTGCCCGGCCGAGCTCCATGGGTAAAAGCCCGGCCACCAGGCGCTCGCCCGCGTGCCTCACCTCCAGGCCTGGCTCCAGAGTGGGGCCCCGGTGACCCACGTCCGGGCAAGGGAACATTAAGTCCATTTGTTTTTCTCATCATTGGGGTCTTTGGGCTGCACTTTGTCTGGTCCCTCACCTAAGACCTGTCTGCCATGGGTGACCCTACTAGGGGCGTAAAGCCCCTGACAGCATAGCTCCTAGGATCATTGGGACACTCAAACCCCTCCACCACGGTAAGGTGGCAGCCCAGGGAGGTTTTTAATTTTTGAATCCGTCCAGAGGACCTGACTTTTCTTTCTTATAATATTCTGTTTGTTTTCTCACTGCTGCATAAAGAAAAAGATTAGTTCAGCCCTTGAGGAAGTATCCCCTCTGCACCTCCTGAACCCACTCTGTAAGTTCATGTAGAAATGGTTAATAACATATTGTGCCTTCTGTTTTCCACTACAAAAACTTTCTTTTTAAACAAGATCAAATTCACTTGATTGTATCTGTTTTTCTGTTTGTGTGTGGTTTATGTAAAAGACAGTATGGGTGTATTTCCTCATTCTAGCAAACATTTTCTTGGCAAAGAGTAAAGGACTGAATAAAAACTCAGCAAAGTTGGCTCAGTGGTGTCTTACACATGATGAAACTCAGCACTGCACTTTTTCTGCTGCTAAACAAACGATGAATGCAGAGGATGAAAGGTGAGCATAGTTGTTTTTTAAACCTGTGTCAGCGGCTGTGGGCTGAGCTAATTACCAGAGGTCATTAACTAAACCTTTTGTCGCTCTGCCTGGCCAGTCAAGATGTCTCTGGAGTAGCAAAGTTGAATGGTTGAGGGGTGGACTGGAGTTGAAAGCTACAAAACAAAGACATCTGCTGAGGAGAAGCATTCTTCCTCTGCAGTAAACTACAGGAGAAAGATGGAGAGGAGTGAAGAAATGTTGCACCTGCAGAGAAGTGAAAAATATAAATAATAGAAATTTTATTTTGTGAATTCTTTGGGTTTTTTCTGCAGGACATAAAATGAAATGAAATGCTTAGGATGGAAAATGTATTTTACTGTTTAGTTTTTCTGCGAAATATAAACTTGGAACATCCGCCTAGTTTAAACTGAACATTTACATTTAAAGTAGTACTGTTGAGCACCCTGGGGAAGATGAATCAAATTCTGCTGAAACCTAAATGACTGACATCTCATATCAGCCTGGCAAGCTTCCTTCAACACCAAATATGTTTGCATTTCCTTTGCCTTTTATATTATGACTTGTTGGTAAATCAGATGGATGCATGTGAACAAGTAAGATTGTAAGTGTGGATAATGGCTGCAGCAGTGAAACTAGAAGTGACAGAAACGTCTTCAAACAGTCCCAAAGTCAGAAAATAAACCCCGCCAGTTTCTCTGTTTTGGTTAAATTTTACATGAGACATGTGACATCACGTGTGCTGGAGTATGGCAGCACTGACAGGAGCACCGCTTCAGCTCGTTCTCTTTTTGGGCCTGTTGTTTTTGTTTTCACTTCTTTTGCACATACACTGTACACCCACACTACGGGGATGAGGTCCACGATGCACTTTTGGAGTTTTGTGTGTCGCTGCTTTGCCATCCTGCCATCGTGGTTCAGTTCCCGGTCCTCGTCCAGCCTCGGGCTCAGGCTCCAGCCTGTCGTGGCTGTCGTCCCCATGATCCTCCATCTGCCTGCATGGACCGAACTCTACAGAACAGTTCAGTTCCATGGGGAATCTTTGGATGTTCTGTGTCTGCCGGACCCGGTTCTGGAGGGCAGTCATCGTCCATTGCCACGGTCGTTATTATCATCATGCTGCTAACGAGACAACACTAAGGGTGCAAATCTCTGTGTCTGGCAAATCGATTCGATTCAGATTTTTTTTTTTTTTTTTTTTTTTTTTGGTCACGATTCGATTCAAAATTGATTTTTCAATTCATAAACCATTTTTCTATTGAAATGGTCATAAATTTAGTTTCAGTTATAATGTATATGTAACTGACAAGCTGAAAAGATTAAACAACAATGTAAACAAATGGAACATTTATTTAAAACAATAATTTTATGTTCCTTACTGTATCAAATATTTTGCATCATTTTATATTTATACCAGAAATAGGAACAAATATAGGAGTGCATAAAATTCTGTAACTTAAATTACCAGTATTAAGTTAGCTTAGCTGCCTGAATTTTTCTAAAAAAAACAACCTCTAGGAACAAATAATTCATCCATCCATCATCTTTACCTACTTCTTACTTTTCGAGTCACTGGTATCACTGGTGCCCATATCAGCCATCACTGTGTGAGAGGCGGAGGACACCAGGTCTCCAGTCCATCACAGACAAATAATTAAAAAATATATAAATATAAAAGTAAACAGACTTCAACCTAACATAGTACATTAACCTTTAACTCAAGATAAAATACAGACTTCACAGGGTTATTTTTAACCATATTGCTCTAACATTTGTTATATCTTCAAAACTTAACTTAATATGAAATATACAGACTTCAGTCTTAACCATATTGATTCATATTTAGTAAATCTTTAACAAAATTCCAAAACCTGTGCAAGTTTGCACAAAAACCTCTTCTGAACTGTAATTTATAAATAATTTATAAACCATAAAGTGTCTCATTTAGAACTGGCTCCAGGTGATGTCTCATCTGTCCTCTCCAACCTGTTAAAAAGACAAATTACATAAAGTTTGTTGAACAACTTGTCTATAAGTTTTAGTTTAATATGAGAAATAACAGTTTCCTTTGAGCTGCAGCTGCATCAGAGCTCCTCCCATTTTATTTGTTGTTTCATGGTGAAGTTGTGGCGCTGCTTTATCGCAAAAAAAAAAAAATCTACATGAAGGACTAACGTACGTTGGGTCCAGCGTATTAAAGATAAAGCTGAACCTCCTCACCTTCCACTGCGCTGTCTCATCATAAATCCTTAGTGATGCAGCAGGAGATGGAGAGGGAAATCTTCACAGCCTTTGGTGAAGCCTGGAAGTTTGTTGCAGAGTTCACTGGTCGGCTGTTTCGCTTTCATCTTCCGTGCATTTTGTCTTATTTCCAAAATATTGTACCGCAATTTTATTTGACACTTCTTGGAAACAACCGTGCTCTTGTGAAGCTCTGTCTTCCCCCGGAACATTGTAGGATCTGAAATGATTTTTAAAGACGAAGCAGCGGGTTGAATCACGCTGTCTCCCTCCTCCATGCTAGCAGGCTCCATTCAGATAAAGGGAGCTGGCTAACTAGCTGCTGTACGGTGGCCTACATGGCTCAATTCTACGGCGGTCGAGCGGACGCGTAATGTGATATGTAGTATGGTCGGGAGCAGGAGCGGAAAAAATAAAACAAACGCATATTAAAATCGATTTATGGGCCTTTAGAATCTATTCAGAATCGCAAAGACTAAGAATCTAGATTCTTTAATAAATCAATAATTTTCTGCACCACTAGACCACACTGCTAACAGTACCATGCTGTGCTGCTTGTCCTGTTGGACCTCACAGTCGCCTTTGACACCATCGACCATGAGATCCTCATTGCTAGGTTGGAGCTGTGGGTTGGAGCTGTGGGTGGGCGTCACAGGATCAGCCCTCAATTGGTTCAGATCTTACCTCACTGACAGAGCCTTTTGTGTCTCCATCAAGGATTTTAGTTCCGCAGCGGCAGAGCTTAAATGGGGGGTTCCGCAGGGGTCCATCCTGGGT